ATCCCGCACCAACATCCGCACCAATACGCACCCCATGCCTTGGTGAGCGGGTGTGGAAGACATCAAATACCACTCAATGTAAATGTACCACAGTTTTACGATGTTTTGAGTTGGACGTCTGCAAAGCCACCAAGAAACCTCGTCGTCTTGTGTGTTTCGGATGAAGTCCGAAGGCAGAAGGGCGGATCAGCAATGGCCTCCAACCTACTAGCGATGGCCTCCCCTTCCATCAGTGTTTTGCACATACAGTAATTGAACCATCTCCGCCTGGGCCCAGGAGAAAGCTCTCCGTCGTGACACTCTCGTCGATGCGGTGCTCACCTCTGCATGCGGTGTGGAGTCTGGAGCAACGAAAGTTGACTGGCAACTGACCCGGTGACGGTGTGGTAGAGACCCGATCATCCAAAACAAGACGTTGAATCCAAAGGTGATTGATCATTGATTCTGATCGTTGGATTCCCATGATACCCTGATGTCCACCAACCTTGCGAAAAGGAACCTTGAAGCCTGACAGCTCTCCCAACACTATTCTAGGACATTCTTGCAAGAATTGCAAGTGTGAGAGGTTCTTCTAGGACACTCTTGTAGGACATTCTGGTGCGACACTCTTCCACACACACACTTGTGTGAAAGTCTTGTATATCTTGTATGGCTCTTTTTCTGTGTCGCTCTTGTAGAACACTTTTGTTCAACACCCTTGTGGGACACTTTTGCGGAACACTCTTGTACACTCTTGCAGACTCTTGCGTTGACATTCTTCTTGATTGAAACTTTTGTAGGGGACACTCTTATGCGGGACATCCGCCAGCAGTGACCGAAACGAGCACTTCATGTGAGTCACATGAAAAAGTCTCCAACACAAGACGTTGTCGTCTATAGCGAAGGCGGGAGAGCGACCCAAAACACTGCGCCCACATGACTCCAAACATCTCCAACACGCAACATCAATCGATGCGATGGTAGAAGCACTGTGCTCACAATAGTGACTTAAGGGCGTTACACGTTTGGAATTCGATCGGAATGCACCATCTACACTCTACACGTTTGGAATGACTAAGGGCGCTTACTTTCCTGCCTCACAGGAATCGTACACAAAATGCGAGCTGAGATTTCTCACGACAATACAGCTTCGAGGCGAAGCCTTCAAGAGCAAATCCCAATGACACCAAAGACCCACCTGGAAACACAAATTCCAGCGGCCTCCACAGAAAATTGATGCCGCACATCTAAAGAAGGCACGCCTCCACTCTGCTTCACAAGAATCGAACTCTTCGTCAGTCCGTCCATCCATCCAAGACATCAAGACCTCCTCCAAAAGCTAAAGACACCCAGTGACAACGCTTGCAAATGCTTGCTTCTAGTTGCGAACCCTCAAGCGCCGTCGAGTGAACACGCGTCAAACCCAGACCCCCAGGCGTTGAACGAGAATCCTTCGCTACGCAGTGGAAGATTGTAGACGTTCTCGTTCGCCTCTGCGGGATTGTCTCCCCTTAAGATCGACCGATCGACGATCCTCCAGGATCGTCGGCCTGTGCTCCAAGTGGCCCATGTACCATGCCACCACAATCACCAGGAGGATCAAGGCACCAACAGTCATGGCTGCCAAGTGCCGTGTGAAGCCGACCTGGGGAAACAAATCAAAAAAAAACGCATCTCACCCTTCAGGGATGAAGGATCTCCACCTGTGGGTCTCCATGTAAAGCAATGATTGATTTACTGATTTACTCTGAAGTAGTGATGTTCTTGTCGCAGGTCGATTTTCAGAGTTCCAATACCCTAAAGATGGAGGGTGGCGGGCCTGGCGGGCCTTCCGCACAGCTTCAGATATCAATGCTTGCCACTAAACATATAGAAACATTTGCCTATTTGCTCGTGGAATTGTTCTCCAAAGGGATCCCCTGTAACCCGTGATGTGTCCCTAAAAACACGCCTTCTGAATCGAAACTCTCTTGAGTCTGATGAATTAACAGTGCCAAATAGCTGTCACAGCAGGGGTCCAAGCTGCATGTCGAGCCAAAGCCATGGGGCAGCAAACAAAGATCCCAACGGAGACCTGGTTGTTTTCAGATGCGATGAACACACGCGGCCCATGCGTGCCGCTGTGAAAACCAGACTTTGGGAAAGGGTCGTGTATTAGAACCAGGACATCTCTTTTGCCGCATTTGCCCATGCCCGTCTCAAGCGAGTCAGGGAAAGTAACTCAGGAATTCTACCAGTACATGACCTTACAAAATCTTACAAAAATAGAAGAACAAGCGTAGCTCGCCATCTACTGTAACAGTATGTCTACAGCATTCTAAAGTCAGTTGTTGACTTAGTCCATTGAATGTTGCGCTGGAGTGCAATGGTGACACCTGACTGATGCTCACAAGTGATCTGGCGTTTTCACGCATGCCATGTGCGCGGGACATGAGCACGCAGAGCCTGATGTTGGATGTTCTTTGGGATTGCTCATCGCAAAACACGAACTTCATCCTCAAGAAATGGACCAACCATTCGTTCGTCTTCGGATTTTCACCCAGTTTTGGGGTTTTGGGCTAGCCAAATGGAAGTTCCGACTCTCAACGCAGGTTCCCTGACTCCAAAGCAAGACTTTCCATGACTTTCCATGACTCTCCTATTCTTGTTGCTTCTTGTCATGCGTCCATCATCCATCATGAAGTCGAGTCCACAAAGTCGTTGAATCTCCGAGTCGGTGAACCTGAAATTCTCTCTGTCTTCTTGTTCCTAGTAGTAAGGCCAGGAGCGCCCCTAGTAGCGGCCCTGCTCCTAGTAGCGATGCCCTTTGTTACTAGAACGGTTTCCACCCCCAAACTCTGCACTCGTTTTGGCAAGTCGTTCGACTGGGACTCCCCGACTCATGGGTTTCGATCAATGCTCAACTACTCAGGGCCGATTCCCCTATGTTTGGTCTCCGCAAGAACCCAACCCGAAACTCCCAGACTCTCATCTCAGTGGCCACGAAGAGATTCCTGGTGGCGTCGTCGGTCGGGAAGACCACCACGAAGACCTGACATTGGCAAGAGGGGGGGCGGGCGGCACCGGCGGTGATCACCTAGGGCAAACCGGGGCAAACCTGGTGCAAACCCTGGTCGTGTTCAAACCTGGAGCTTCCATTTGGGGATGTCCATTTGGAGCTCCCATGGCGTGGTTCGGATTGATCACGAAGGTGCTGGAGACTTCTTCCGCCACGTTTTCAGACTGCGCAGACTGCCCGTTATCAGCCAAGTGGATGTTCGATTCCAAAAGGTCCCTATAAGGTAGTACTCTACATGATCAAAAGTTATCCCCGGCCCCTGACCAATGAATGCCTTTGAAGTGGTTGGAGAAAGACAACAATCAACACCCAAGTGTTGAGGGTATCCACGAAAGCCTTTTCCCAGTTGGCCCAGTTGTGAAAACCAAAGCAGAAGTTCACACTTCTGAGAATTCTGCCACGTGGGTTCTGATATTTTCGGGTGTTCAGTGTTCTGCTAGAAAAGTGTTGAGATTTGCAACTGGGGTAGGATTTTTCGCCGGGGATCATACAAATGGCTTCTATCTATTGGTCAACCCTAATCATTAGGCCCTAATGACCCGAACACTGGCTGAGGCCACATCCCAGGGCCCGCACTTGTCCGCAAACGATGAGGTATCCAGCGGCCGAGCCCAAGCAAACGCAGGCATTCATGAAGCCGGTGACGATGGCCATCACCTGCAACCAAACTTCCTGCGCCATCTTTCTAACAAACCTACTAGCGATGGCCTCCACCCTAAGAGCGATGAACCGTCCTTCTTTTTGATTGAAGTCCAATGGAGTGACGCGTTTCTCGTTTCCTCCGAAGTCTGTTGCATAGTTTGTGGATCTCTTGGAATGCCAGCTTTTGTCAGGGTTACTTTCCTGTGTAGTGGATCATTGTCGACAACACTCTTTTCATGCGTCGTGAAACATAGGGTTCCTGGAAAGTGCCATTTCCTCCATGTCTTGGACAGGCAAGAAAAATCATCTACAGTAATAAATGTTGATGCTTGAGCCGTTGGTGTAGGAATCGGTTCGATGATGCTTGTTCCAGTCTTGTGGTCTTCTCGTTTTCTTGCCTTGGAAATAGTCGCGCAAGTCGTGGATATACTGAACACGGTCACTGTCGCTTGGCCCATCTTTCAACCAGGTGGCTTCCCCTTCCTGGAGCGATTCGCCCGATCCTAATCGCCCAATGGGCGACCAGCGATCAAATCCTCGATTAAACAGAACTGCAACCGTTCTTGAGAACCTCAAGGCTTGACTGAAACCCAATCCTGTTGATGGAAGAGTTCTCCCAAAAGTGCTCCTCCAACAACCCGTCTCTTCCTTCAACAGCAGCACTCAACGCAAAAAAAGACCAGTATCCAGTAGCACCCTCAAACCTCCCAGGATCTCCACAAAACTGCACACACCCGTCTTAAAGGGCGTACGGAAGGCATAGGTCTGCTCAGATCAAGCCTGCCTCTCTGGAAGGGCTCAACCGGAGGGCATAGGTCTGAGCGGCCGAGGCGCCGGGTGGAAGAGCTCTTCACAAACGTCTTCGAAGCTCCACTTCTTCGTCTCAATGGATGCCACTGAGATCATCCTCGAGCAACGGCGTGCTCGCGGCCGGACCTTGATTGGTCTTGGACGCAAGGAACTCCCCTGGGCCCTTTGAGGTCTTGGCAGTTTGAAGAAAGATCCTGGACACCACCTCAGAGCTTTTTGGATATGTGGACCAACAATCCCATACTCCATCTTCCCCTCTGACATGTGGACACCACCAGGCGCAGGAAAGAAAAGTATAGTGCGAGATAATCCGCATTGTCTGCCCCTTTGGGGTCATTCTAACTTGACGCACTTAGACTCCCCCCCACGTTCCAGACTGTTGATGGACAAACTCTTGGAGCACTGTAAAATCATTGCATATCCATGGATTTCCTCTCTGTCTGGCTGTACAGGATGTTGTCTGTTGATAGGACTTCCCAAAAGCTTCTAGATAATGTTCAGTCTTAGCATCCGGATACTCAGCACTGTCAGCACGCCACCCAGCCTCGGACATCAAAGCACAGCTGGGTCAAAAGTAGACGATCCCCTCACCCTACCACTTGGTGTTCATCGTCTACTATTTATGTTGTGAGGACAAAGTCGGGTGTCTTGCTGCAGCTGTTGATGCGTGATTGTTCATGCTTGCTGTTCAATCCATGGCCTTGTTTGGGGTGGTCTTTGGCACCAGAGCCCATGCCTGGTCAAGGCGCACTGCACAAGAAGACGTCTCTCCTCCCCACCTCGGGCTTGGCCGAGCCGCATGAGGCACGCCAGCTGGTAGAGAGCCCCCACCTCCGCCGCGTGCACCGACATCGAGAGCACCCCAACGCTGATGGTGGCTTTGCTCAGGCAGATCGCAGTGGGAATCACGCCGCCCCGGCGGAAGGAGCTCTGGCGCTGGAACTTCCTGAAGAGCAATGAGGTGGCCGCAGCGGTTTCTGAAAAAATGAGTAGATGTGGGGGGCGTGAACCCAGCCGTCTCGAGTGGAAGCAATGCTCAACAAATCATCATGACTGGCTCAAAGCATCGCCCATCCACCACCATTGTTGAGTTCTTGTTGTTTTTGCATGGGTCTGTTTCTGCTGTAGATTGAAAAGAATAAAACTAACTTATACAACTAACTTTTATATAATATATGTATGTATATATATATATGTGTGTATATATATACACACTGATATCCTATCCACCAATGACACCGGGCGACGTTGACTGCATCTTGGCCTCGCTGGCCTTGAGACCTCGCTCACAGCAGTCTCCAGGTCGACCGACCGGGCCTGACGCCGAGCCGAGGAGGCCACGACGGTTTCTCTGCGACGACAGACCGAGGACGGAGATGCTATTGGAGGGCGGAGATGTTTTTAAAGAACATGGTATAGAAGTCTATCTTGGATCATGTCCTTATTGAGGAACCTGAAGAACAAAGAACGGAACTCATCGAACTGATTGGATTTGATATCTTTTCCTTTCGAAACAGGGATCTTCAGGGTAAAGGTCGGGATGGTTCCCGGTGAGGTGAATAGAATCAAAAGAGATTACCCTGACAACTCCATCTTGCAGTAGGAAAACTCGTGTTTGCTTGTTCGTTGTTTCAATCATAAACACTGCCTTCCCTCCAAAGCGGTGAAGGAACCAAGCAAGGCATCCTACCCGCTGACGGGGGATGATGGAAATCTGCAAACCACCACTAAGGTCAAAAACGCTGGAGCAGCTGGCCTGTGCTTCCACGGCCATCTTCCTGTTGTAGATTCTTTGCAGCTCAAGACGAGGGCTGGGCTCTTGAGATGAAATGCTGATCAAATATGCAGAACATGGGCGATGGAGAGCAACGTGGAAATGAATACACGCAAGACTCCTTTCATCTTTCCATGTCTCTTTTTATTGTTTGCCATACCAAGACTGCTCTTGTTGGGCCTGGTTGGTCTGCTGTTGAAAACACCTCGCCCAAAAAGAAGCTGTACACTCGCAGCACTTCATGCAGCTTCGAATGTCCGTAGTGTTCGAAGCTGGAGATTGTGCTCGCAGTACTCCTTCCAGGAGGCCCCCTCGAGGTCCCAGAAAGAAGTGCCACATCAGTTGGGCGCAGCACCCACGGGGACTGACCGCATGGGATGCCTGGTGCCCAACTGAAAAGGCCGGTATTAGGTAATCCGGTAATACGGTACTAGTGAGAGTCCAGTTCAAAAGAGAGCTCTCTGTCTTCTCAAAGAAGAAGCAATCCAAGAGGTGGACCCTGGTCTATGGTCCCCCTAGACAGGGCCATGATAAACACCCTGGATCTCGAAGATCCTCATGCACTGCAGGGAATGCATCTGGTTGCAGCTCCAAAATCCGGAACCTCTCCAATAAGAAACAAACACCGTTTCATGAGTCTAGGTCTCGTAATGGCCACGTCTTCTTGTTCCCCAAAGGATTTCTAGGTCTCGCACCGTGCGCACAAACGGCAGGGTCGAATCCAACGGATCCGGGATTTTGGACCACTAGGCAGGGCAGGACATGCAATGGCACCATGGCGGGTGCATAGCGCCTCTCAGTGCCCAAGGATTGGCAGGATGGCCGAGTAGGTGCCGAAGACGAAGAGGAAGAGGCCCAAAGCCAAGAAGGAAACACTAAAGAGGATCTCCCGGCTGAACCAGGAGAAGTTCTTCGGGTCCTGCGAGATGTTGCGCAAGAAGCTGGTTGGTGGCTTGGGCGGAGTGAGATCAGTCTATGCCAAACCCCAACAAGTGCCAGTGCAGGAATATCCACTCTTTGAGAAAACAAATAAAGACCTTTCGCCAGAGTCAAACAGTCTTCCCGGCATTTCACCTGAAACGGCGGATGGTCTTCAAATGCAAGAAAGAGAGAAAGAATCTCTGATCTGTCCGCAACTCCGCCTTCAAACTTCAAAAAAGCTCATCTCTGATGTCGGCAGTCTCCAGACGGGATTCCCTTCCCCATACTTCTACCACCACTCCTTTCGTCGGAGCGCAATGATCCACAAGGGGGGGCACAATGAAGCCTTGGAGCAAAACGGGCAGCTCTCACCCTTGACAATGATGTCCATGAAACGCGGCCGGAGGCTCATGACAAAAAAAAGAGATCAAAGAAATCCCCTTGCCAAAGGCCGGAAACCATGACATGGTACCCAAACCTCAGACCCTCTCTCTGCCATGTCTGATCAGCCCTGCAGACTGCAGCCCTGCAAACCCCATTTTCCTCACCACTTTCACTGGATGGAGCGATACGTAGAGAGGTCATGGAGGCTTCTGGGGGGTTCACCCACACCACTCTTTTCTTTCGTCTGTTCAACAACCACTTGATTTGTTTTGAGGTTTACTCGCTGCTCAAGATCTTCACGGATCAAAATGTTTAGGAATTCACGTCAAAACGAGCTCAATCGCAAGTTCATTCACACTTCCAAAACAACCCACTGTGCCGGCTTCCACACTTAAAGCATCTTGAAACTCATTGTGAGCAAATCTGTACACCACTAAATTCCTGGGCACACGAGTCGACCCGGCGGACTCATCAAGTCGGAGGTGGTCGAACCCTCCACGACCCTCCAAGTCGACCAAAAAGGGTAACAAGATGTAATGTTTGTTTTGTTAAGCCACGGGGGACGCCAAGGTATGGTAGCTAGTAGAAGAGGTAAGCTACTAGCTACTTAAGCTCCTACCTAGCACACAGGATAGCTCATGCTTCTTCAAGAAAGCCCCCCCGCCGCCCTAAAGGTGCTTCCTTGAAGAAGCGCTCGCACTAATGATTTGGTTCCTGGATTCTTAACATGTTGTACATGGAATGCTCAATTGTCTTTGTTTGCCTTTTCTATTTCATGCGGTTTCGAGGGTGTCCCGAGTCATGTTTCCAGGTTCCTGCTTTAGAGGTTCAGGTCATAGCCCTATATACTAGTCTGCTCGCAGGTGAACTGGTCATGGCCGAACATATGCGTCTTTGTGATGAGTAGGTTGGCAGCCCTGCCAGGAGGTTCTGGCCACCTGGGGGTTCTTGATATCCTCATGACTCATGGATGGAACAAGACCCAAGAACAAAAACAGGATTGCAATTGAGGGTGATGCAAGTGTTTTTCTTCTCTGGATCCCGCTTTAGGCTTGGTCACACCTCAGTTTCCAGTCTTACCCTCAAACAGGCCATTGGCAAGGACTTGAGTGAGTCGAATACTATTATGAGCTCTCCATGACAATCCTTCTAGGGCTCCGCCAAAGCCCATTCTCATCACCGACCCGGTGGCGAGCCACTGATGTATGCGGACGCAAAAGCCCCGATGAAGTCCATAATGGTCCGCAGGCTGGTAATGACAACCGCAATCAGGACCACGAGGCAGACCGTGCCCAAGGCGCATACAATGTCATACCAGCGTGTCAAGCTCAGCCCAAAGTAAACCACGTCCTAGATGTGGTTTTTCGTGTGGCTGTTGTGTGGGGGGGCTAAGTTCTCGAGCTAGCCAAGGCCTGGAAAATCTTTCAGGGCCGCAAAACTATGGAAGCAAAACGGAAGAACCTTGTCCTTGCAAATGGCCTTCAAGTACTTTCATTTCAATGCTATGTCAAATACAATGCAAACACACATACTGGTATACTGCATATTTAGATGTTCTGTGTGTACATATATATATATATATATTTACAGTATGTATAAACAGGTTCTGAGGCTCGTATTCAGGTTGCTAGGTAAAAGCCTGTCACTTTGGCCTCTCCACTGGTTCCCTCAATAGTTTTGCAGTGCCTTTTGGGAGTCTTTTGCATTGGGTTTAAGAAGCTTAGGCCTTTGGGGAGAGCTTAGCCTAGTCCACTCACTTCGTGGTTTCGCACGCTTCGTAGTCCAATCTCTTTCTTCCATAAACTCTTCCTGCTGGGCGTGGTGAATGGTCTGGGGTTCACGTTCACTTGGTCTAGCTTTGGAGGGAGCCTATTTCCTCTGGCGAGTCATGCCAGTGACACCACTACGTCAATCGAAGGGTTCGACTGGAATTGCGCGACCCTTCCCGTTTTCCCCGTGTTCCTGTTCTCCACAGTGAACTCACCTAACCTGAGCCCAAGCCTCTTTCTCCTCGTCGTCGGAGCTGCGACCACGGGCCTTGCGCACCACATAAGCCAGGAACTGGCGGATGGGATAGATGTGGAATTGGAAACCTGGCGTTGATGTCATGAGCTGTCGCCATGCACGCAAATGTAGATGATTAGAAGCCCAGGCATGATTGCTTCACAAACATGTCATATCATGTCATATCCTGGCTTGCAATCAAGGCACTGACTCACCACCCCAAAGGGAAAAACAGAGACCCTACTCGGCCCTTCTGCTTACCCAAGACCAACCGGTTGCACTTCATGAAAGGAACCCGGAAGTTGTTGCTGCATGTTCCTCGAGCAAACTCCAAGTTGTTTGCTTGTGTTTGATTCATCCATAACCACCAATCCATGCCCACGGGACAGGTGAGAACGCTGAACATCACCGCCAGTAGGGAGATCAGCACATGGACCTCCTAAGGGCGCTGCAAACGGAGAGAGGAGAGAATCGTCTGCCACTCGAAGAGACGCCCAGCACCCATCCGACGTGTCTCTGTTTCGTTGTTTCATTGGCTCCTTGCGCACAGGCATCAAGTCCAAGATCAGGGAGTCCTTCGCAAGAATGCACCAAAGCAAAACAATACTCTCAGCCAGAGCCAATATCCAAACAAGTCATCGACAGTAGGATTCTCGTCTCCTTACGAGATCTGACCTGAACCGACCTCAGCTCCGCCTGTTGCGACTTGCAGAACCGAGACCGAGCCTTTTGGTTCCCTCCCACTCCGAAGGCCAGCACCCCCACGATGGAGACCGAGGCATAGAGGAAGAAGCCTCGGTGCTACTCGATGCTTTCGATCCCGTGCTTTTGATTGTCACCGGAACGTCTTTAAAGGCACAAATGGGCTGGGTGGCTCCTCGGCGATGAAAATGTCATCTCTCGCTCCCCTCCAGAAGGCGAGGATGATGTGACGATGTATATCGACTGCGCCAGGGGGGATATGCTTGTTTGGGGAACTTGTTCTGAACGCTGAAGTTCTCCCCTTCGAATAATGTATCGGTGGTGCTTGTATCAAAATCGCTCTAGATTCTAGGGAAATTGCCAGGTGGTACAAGTGGTGCGTTCTTCATCGCCCAAGCTCCAAACTCCCAAGGCCCAAGAGAGGACCTTCTAGAATAGTAATACTAAAGTGGCCATTGAGTGATCTTGCCAGCTTCCTAACCTTCTAGGGTTGAAAAACAAGACTGATTCAGCAGGTCAAAATGCAACAAGCGCCAAAGTCTGCACTCAGACCCAGCACGTCCGAAGAACCCTTTGCCGGCATTGGACAAGCATTCCATATATTTGGGTGTCACTATGCATAGACTATGCACTTACCTCCAAAGTGTCAGCAGGGTACAGCGTCCTGCAGGCAGGACGCTGGCAGAAGTGCTCAAAACAGCCACCTGCAAGGCACTGGTTGGCAGATGACATGGCGCGGTCACACTCCAAGTCAGGCTGCCCAGCTGTTTGGTCTCTGTAAACATCACCTTTGTGGACTCAGGTTCTTGCACCAGGACCAGATGGCAAGGTGCACACCAAGCAGAGAATCTGGGGGTAAGCAGTAGCTGGAAGATTGTAGAGTTTTGGTGGTCTCCCAATCAATAAACACTCGCCAAGTGGAGAGAAGGGGGTTCTCTATCTCTATCCACTGACCTTTTCGGATACGTCGAACCTGTATGTGGGATTATCTAATTAATTATGATGTATGTCTCAAAGGAGTGAAACCTCCCAACCTCCCATCCGTGAAACGGAATAAACTATATACAGCCTTGGGCCCAGGGAGTCATGCAGGTCCATTTGCATTCCAATGGGCCGCACAGCCCTGATCAGCACCAAATATGTTGCGGATGAACATTGATCCTCAACAATGCCATTCGGATGTGGCCCAGTGGCCAGTGGGGACACCTTAGCCCCATGACACAAGGGAGAACATCACCCAAACATTTTTGATCTTCCACTTCATCAGCCCAAAGTTTCTGGTGAACTGGCTGTAAACCCAAAATGTCCTTATAGATACCACAGTATTATAGATAGATACTGTACTGATGTCAATGTCTCATCCGCTCCGACCGGAACTGCCACGCCTTCGTCATGCCCTGCCGGCTGGGCTCCGGCGTCAGCTCCCCCGTGAGCTGCGGAACGTTGAACCTGGGCGGCAAGTGGACAGTGGCCACAGTCACCCAAACCGCTGGCAGCCAGCCTTGGAAGCCCCTTTTGAACTGGTGGTTGATACGTCTTCGTAACCATGTGGATTGCAGGTGTGCGTCGCGGCTTCGAAATGCCAGATTTGTTTATTTGTTTGTTTGTGACAC